TGTCACTTGAGCTGTTTTTGCACCGATCATCTATCAGTAAGACTGATATCAGACACAAAGATGTCCTCAAAAGTCACAAGGACACCAGCTGATGCGAGTGATGTACACTATTACAGTATGTGTGACATGAAATACACGTGATGACAGAATTATAGACACCAAGCAAATATGTTTTTGTGGTATCATGCGGGGCTATTCTATAATCATGGTACCATTTTCCTGTTGTTGTATATTTTAGGATTACTCCTCATTAGCAACTCTAATGAAACGCCTAAATATTTTTTCTTCTCTGCATCTGTGTCTCATATTTTTACCCACCATGCTACGAGGGGCTTAGGAGTTTGGCGATTATGTACATGACAAATCCTCAGGTGCCTTACAGTTTGATTCTCATAGGACTCTGTGAGTGAATGTTTTTGGGTCGACATACGTGAAAAGGACTGCAACACCTCTTAAAGTGCAGGTTTGTCCGTAATACCATTACAAAGGGCTGGAAACTGGGCTGGGTCGGACTGCAGAATTTAAAAGTAACTTACATTTATATTTGACTGATCCAAACTAATAAACGTCAGCACAATACAGTCTAGAGGATATCAAAGGAGGATTTGCTAACATTTGTTTTCCTCTTTTTGGTTCAGATCACATAGATGTTCTGCCATGATTCACCATGATGCGGTTACATTTTTAGAATTGAATTTATGTGATATGACAGCGCATAAAGCTCCATTAAAAACAAAAGTGAACTGCAGAAAATCCGTGGATTTCTGTGAGTGGATATGACGGTGTAAATTGGATTGCACGTCACATCCATTTCAGCAAATCATAAAAGATCATTTATTTAAAGGTCTTTATCTATTTCTCCTCCTAGCTGTAATATTTTAATCTTGTGATGTTTTTTTGCCAGTTTTTGGCATTCTACATCTACAGAATCTGGAGACTGACAAAACTTGACCAGCCAAAAAGTGCAATAGTGTTTTTCATACAACGACAGGCAGGCTCACCTACAGCTATTTACCTCACGGTTAAGCGTTTTTAGCAAACATGGTATATTAGGAGTAGTTGTAATCTCCACAGGAACACTTTGTCATGCCTGTGTACTATGCAGCAGTACTTCTGTGGGGTGGCAGAGCTTGCAGGCCCCGGTGCAGACCACCTTTCATTTACAGAGCACTGAAAGCACGCCGTCCATTGTGCTATATACTACAGGAGCAAAAACGTGTGCTGTCATTGTCATCCAGCACTCAATCTTACACAGCTCATCCATGATCGCTTAGTTACGATTTACTTTGTGCTGATATAAAAGATAAAATACTTAGTGTGAACAAAAAGTCAGCTATCTACACACACACACACACACACACACATACGGATGTGATAAGTTCCTTTGCCAGGGTCACTTTTCCCTGTTAAATCACTACTCATCTGTTTATGCTTTGTACAACACAGTTTGCAGCACCATATTTTAGACTAACATTGTTTACTAGTTGTCCTTAAGATAAACCTCAGAGAAGTCTGTACAGGTGCTGAATCAACCAACTTCTCTCCTTGTACTTTTCCTAAATTTGCTTTTTTTTTTGGTGTTTTGTTTTTTCTGACAATCAGCACACACCAAAAGCATCAAATGCACACACACACACATACACACTACAACAGCAGTGTCATACTTCATCCTCAAGTAAGAGCCCTGAGTTTCCCTTAAAACGTATCTTGAGGATCTCTTCACAGTCTTTTCAAGTGAGACTCCATCAGATTTTCATTGAAAGCTTTTCTCCTTGTTTCTGATACAGTTGCACTGCAAAGATGTCTTTCTATTGCTTGCTCTCTCTTCTCATAAATCATGTTTATTCACTTTCAATGGCATAAACCGGTTTTGTCACAAGACAAACGGCAGTCAAGTGAGTAATTATGGACAATATCTGATGTCATGCTTGCGTTAATACTGGGCTGTATGAGAGCAGATCTGCTCCTCAAGCAATAAGCCTGATTTCGATATTTGGTTTGGCTTTTCATCCTGATTATTAGACTTCTGACAAACTTAAATCGAAGGGACGTTACAGTACAGTTTATGTGGTTGTTGAGCATCTTAGAGAAACAGTTTGACATTTTTTTGTGAAATATGCACATTTGCATATTTAGATAAGTCAATCTGTCATATCTTATTATTAAAAATGAAGCTACAGCCAGCAGCCGACCAGCTTACCTTAGCCAAAAAAACTGAAAACAGTGGGAAACAGCTAAAACACTTGGCTCTGTCCAAAGGCAGAAAAATCTGCTTAAAATCATATATTTCTTATTTGTTCAGTCCTTGAAAAGGAAAATAAACTAAAGTGTAAAAGTAGAAAGAGTGGACCTGGATAAGCTAATGTCTAGCTAGCCTGGCTCTGTCCACAGGTAACAAAATCTGCCTAAAACACAACTAAAGTTCAATAATTAACACGTTATATACGTTTGTTTAATCTGTACAGTGTAAAAACGGCATGTTGTAGTTTTAAGGGGGTTATAATGATCTATTTCTTGGCCAGATATGGTGAGGAGGGCTGTTTCCTGTTGTCTATAAGAGATGGTTAGCTTAGCTTCACCATAAAGACTGAAAACAGGTGAAACAGCTTGTCCATAACATAGAAATAGACCAGCATAAAACCACAAATTCACGTTTTTACACTTGTGTGGAATAAACAAAAAATAAATTACATGTTAATCAGGGACCTTTAAAGATGCTTGTAGGCGTATTTTGTTACCAGGCTAGCTGTTTCCCTGTTTCTAGGCCTTATGCTAAGCTACGCTAACCCTATCCTGGTTGTAACTAAGAGTGGTATCAATCTTTTCACCTCTCTGAGAAAGCATAAAATGTCAAATTATTCCTTTAAAGAGCCAACATTTTGCTTAGGTCACGTTAAATGAGAACTTGGTTAGATGCTTACCATTTTCTCACGCTTAATTTCTGTGATTTATTATATTTTACTTGCGAGCTCAGTGCCCGTCCACAGTGTTATTGGTCTCAGTCAATGTGAATCAGTTTACATTGCCTCTGAAGGATAGTGAAATACTATTTGACGCCACTGTCCCTGCACCAATTCTTGGACATACGATCCCAATCCAACCAGAATACACAGGTATATGTTGTCCACATTTGCATATTTCTTTGAATTGCGTGCTACTGTGTAACTGGGAGGAAAAAATGTTTCTATATCTGTGCTGTTCTTTATGTTTCAGTGTTTTATGAGGGGAGAGAGCAGTCACAATTTAGTTTGCCTTTGGTGGAGAAATGTCTTGTGTTGTGGCTGTGGGTAGAAATAACAGAAGGCCTCTTATGGGTTTTTGAATGTGACATGAGAAAAATTTGATAGCATAAAAGGTTTGTGGTTAGCTTAAAACTATTTTGAATTGTTAGATATATCAATAATGAGGATAAATATAATGCCAAATATTCAGTATTTGTACAGAAATATACATATATAAATATATAATATATGCCTAATTTAAATGGAACTATTTTCCGCTCTTGACCATGTTTTTGTTGTTTAACGTTCCTTTGTCAACATTATTTTATAAGATCTTCAGATAGCATGCAGGATAGTGAAAATGAATGTATTATTTAGTGTTTCATTGCTGTTCAGTATTACAGCATTCTACAGATCAGTTTGTGTTTGTAAGATTACTTTAAGCTGAATATTTCATTTCTAGATTTGTTTACCTATAAATGAATTGTAAACTTTCTTTTCTAAATGCAAGGTTTTGAAATGGTTTTAACAATTTATATCATTTTATTATTTTCCTGCTTTATCAATGTGGTTCAATATATTTTGCCTCTTCTAAGTACTGCTATCAACCATCTGTTGTAAATAATTATGCAAATTAAACTTTTTGAAGAAAACGACATGTTAGTGAGAGAGCGCTTTAATTTTTCTCTTTTCTAGGTACCAGGAGTTTGGAAAAGGGTTCAGTGATGGAGTTGTGCCACAAAGTAGACAAGTGATGTGAGATATTAGCTCAAAGGGTATTAATGGGGAATTACTAAAACCCTAATAAAGTGCTTTTTACCCTCTATGCGGGTCCATATAATGATACTAATAAAAGGAAAGACGCTTCCTTAAGGAGAATCCATTTAAAGTGTCTTATTACCGTATTGGCTGGGATTATTTAAATAAAGTCAGTGATCTAATTAGTTACTAATTGAACAGTTGGGACATTTGTGAGGTAAAAACATGAATACTGTGTGTCCCTGCTTCAGTTTCAGGGTCACACTGGGAGACTTGAATAGATCTGAGCCATCATTTACGTTATTAGCAACACCTGTGCGACCCAGTCTACGGCGTAAAGTGCAGGGAAGATGTGTTTACATGAACTGTTTTAGCTCAGAGACTGCATTGCAAAAATGAGGTGGGATGTAGTAGTGAGTGACGGCAGCAGTAGTGTGGGTGTGAGGATGTTGGAAGGTAAATAATATGATGAACACAAACACAGAGCGTGAAGAGCTGTGCTGCCCACCATTTACCTTTAATGGACGATATTATGAAGTGTAATAGCAGGAAAAGCACACGTGTGATTAATGGCGTTAATGATGTACATATCTGATTAGTTTTGCCAGGTTCAGGGAAAAGGGAAAGGGATATTAACAGCTGCTGTCTATAAACAGTGGTATAACAGGCCTGCACACTCACACAGGGGTTTTTAATGTCTCTGGCTAATTCAACCTCAAGTCAGGTTATGCTGCCAATTCTGCGTGAAAATCTGGTGAAGGACCTGTCAATCAAGCCCAGTTGGTTCACACCAACACCAAGGTTAAAATTAAAAATAAAAACTAGACAAAGTAGAAAAACTAAGTGAAACAATATTATGTACTTATAAAATGAACAAAAATGAAATTAAAATATACAGGAATACATCTACAGGTGTGTAGGTAAGATATCAGAAACTACCAAGGGTATGCTGATCACTCATCCATCCCAACCTCTGGGTCTCTTTTAATGGTAAGCTAACAACAGAACACACATACAACGTTTCATTAAAGAAGTGGTCTTTATTACAGCAAAGAAGCCAAACATTACAGACAAGAATAATTATGAACCATGAATATCAATTCTATGCTCAGACTGGCCTCTCATCCAGACACCTGCTTCATTCACTACTCTTCAGGGCCATTACTTCAGATTTATTAAGGAGGAATTATGGGCATTTTAACATGATTTGCTCCTTAGTTTTTCCCTAAAGTGTGTAGTTAAGAAGGTTGACATACTATTAAATGATTACCAGCCTTATAATTCACTGATTCACTTCCTCTCTCTGCATGCTATAGAGATTACCATCAGTTTTGTCCAACGAGACATCGTACCGCTGTATTAGTATAGTGTTATAGCCTCTGAATTCTCTCTCCGCTCTTTGGGTCGGACCAGAAATCTGGAGGAAAAAAACAGAAAATTGATGTTCCACCAGCAGAATAAAGTTCTGTATTCAGTGGAAACCATAATGCTTTTCAAATAATATCTGTCAAAATTTGAAGTTGGATCCTCCAGGAGTACAATCTCTGACTTTATATCTACAACAGAACTAATGTTCTGACATTGCATCCATCATCTAAATCTCTACTGCTCATCCAACAATAGAGCCTCTTATAGCACTCATGATAGTCTATTTACATCCTTAACAGTAGACCTGGGCTACTCTTGTTCCAACCACGTGGAACCTCTGACATTTTATTTACAATAAAGTTGTTGTTTTGTTTTTTTTATCTGAATCAGTTTGTGCACAACAGAAACACATCTGGTAAAGCCTCACAAAGAATTCATGAAGCATTCTGATTAATAAAACACACTGAATCATGGTCCAAAAGGTATTCAAAACATTGATCGTCCATGAGAACGCATTCAACAAAGCCCTGGTTGCGATCTAAGATGCTGTTAAAATGCTTGTATCAACAAGGAAATTCAAATGATTAGGCACAATAAATGTTTTTTTGTTTCACAGTCCTGCGTGTTTCACTCACTAAGCCTGTTTGCATCACTGAGTCCGTGTGTATTCAGGGGTAATGTGAGTGAGCAGGGTATGAGGATGAAGATAAACAGCTTATCCCAACTAAGACGTTAAGAGGGATAGGCACTATTATCCAAAATACTCTGTGCATATAAATGCACCGATGTTCTACTGACCACAAACAGAGCAAATGGGGGCTTTTACACAAATAAACCACGGTAACATCACAGAGAGTTTCATTAAGTGAAAACAAGACAATACTACTGAATTCCACCTAAATACTGAAAAACTACGTCTAATGCTTTAATATACAGCTTCTATCAGGGGTTCTTAAACTTTTTCTTCACTGACCCAAACTGAGCAGATGTAGCCTCTGACCTCGGGACCCATTATGGGCTCATTAAATCAAACTAATACTCTCAGTACTCCAGAGGAAACAGAGTCGCAGCCCAGTTTTGCGTCCCGAGCCGCAGTTTAAGAAACGCTGGTGGTAAACATGGAATGAAAAATGATTGTTCTTACAAGCAATGCAAGTAAACAAACAATAAATACAAACAATGTGCTTTATCCATATAGACATATTTACACAAAGTCTTTGGCTTATGAATAAACATCAGCTACAAAATAATAAAAAAAAACAAGGAGGAGAAAAAAAATTAAAAAGTGTTGGCCACCAGTGCACAAAACGAATGAGGCCTGGGGTCAGTTCACTTCCAATTCCATTCAAACCATAAATGGACATTGACCTGTTCACGAAAATAGCGTGCATCCTCAGTCTTTTTCTAAGAGTTAATATGCCGATTCCCTCGTACCCAAAAACCCTGTTCATATTTGAAATTAAACATCCCATTTGTGAATTGGCTGAATTGAAAGTGCATTGGGCCCAGCCCTGAAACAAACATGATTATGCTAATGTAACATGGTTGAACAAAATCTTAAGTATTCAGTATTTTTTTTTTTTTTTTTTTTTACAATTTGGGGTACAAAGAAGACTTCTATCCAGTAGATCAGTAAAGCACAGAAAATCCGCTCTGCAGCCCACAGTGGCTGCAGGAAACATAGACAATGACACATATCACACTTGTTCGAATGGAATACATTTGAATGAAAATCCTACACATTTTTTTAAGTTGCCACTTCATGATGTTGTAAAAAAAAAAAACACAAAACAAAAATGAATCTAAAAGCCTAATACTCCCCGTGTAAACTTTTTTGTTTCATTGTGGGTCTTGTTGGTCTAAAGTTTCTTCATCTAATTAGCAAACAGACATTTAAGGTTATTTTCTGTGTCTTTGTACTCTGTTATCTGACAACCTTCTGTATGTAACCAACGCAAATTGGGTTCAAAGTGGCTCTTAAGTACTTAAATCCATAATAATGCTCTGGCTCAGAGTTCACTGAAACAACCAGTAAAATAACATGAAGATGGCCGCTGATGTATGGAGTAGAAAACAGAAGCATTCACAGAGTTTGGCCAGGCTGTAAGTTTTAAGTTTCTTTTTCTTGTACAAAAGTACTGGCTGCAAAATATTCAAACATCACCATGATGAGATGCCCAACACTGTTAAGTTACTCAGAAATTAGCATGAGAGCAGGAATGTGTGACCACTGAAAACTAGCACTTGCAGTTATTCAAAAGCTGTGGTTGCAGCTTGCAAAGGGGAGAGGGAGACATCTACAGTGCACACTGAGTACTGCAGCTGACACAGCATGAGGCATCAAGTCCATGGGAGGGAGGTGGGGGAGGGAGGGGGCTTGTGGTGAGACGTTTAACATTTAAATGGGGCCCAAAACATACAGGGGGGCCCGCTGGCACTCAAAAAAGCTGTACAATAAGCGTAAAGGAGGAAAAGGAGTAACATATCCCCCCCGTGTTGCGCTCCCAGCAGCTCCTTTAGTTAAAAGTCTGGACTTTTTTCCCTTTATTTGGATTCTTCACAACGCTGCGCGAGGAGGAGCCGGTTTTTGCTTGTGCCATTTGTAGGGGCACAAAACGGGTGCTACAGAACGGCTGCCACAGAGGGGAGTCGGGACCAAGCGAAAGCAAAGGATCAAACACATGGGAAGTGAAAAGATGTTCTGCTCTTCTTCACCTCCTCCTCTTACTCCTCCTCCTCTTCTTCTTCTTCTCTCCTTTGTTTAAGAGGACTCGATGAACTCCAGTGCCAGGTCGTAGCTGAAGCGATACTGTTCCTGTAGACAAACACGGACACGTGAACTTAACTTACCATCTGGGTGGTCACATGTTCATATTTTGGCTTTTTATGTCTGACAAGTCTGATATGTTGTATATTCATAAATATATTTAAATTTTCACAATAAACCAAACCACTTTTACTGTCACTCCCTGTGTCTTACCGGAGTATCCACCATGTTAGGTTTGCTGTTCCTCAAGGTCTTCACGGCGTGGAAGACATCGACCACGCTCTGTCTCTTGGCCATCTCACACACAATGCTGCTGGCGCAGAAAACTCCACTACGCCCACCTCCATTTCTGTGAACACAGGGACAGTAGTGCAGAGATACGTGACAAAATGCACAATTTAACATTGCATTCGTAGTTTTGCCACCTCTCACACTGATTTTGGCACAAATCATCCTGCTTGTCAGTACATGTTGTACATCATCAGACCAAAACAAAACTAAATTAGAAGTGTAACTCTGAGTCTTTTTTTAATTATCACCAAATGCTAAAAAAATAACTGCTATTAACTACTATTGCTCAAGTGCCTATATGTCCTTATTAGACCACTGCTAAATAAAGACCTTTTTTTATCCTTTTTATCTTCACTTGAACAAATTATCAGATATTTCTGCTGATTGCTTTCACACTCCATCTCTAAATGGAGATCTTAAAAGAAGTGTATGAGACAGTGTATTTTTGGTGTGTACTCACAGGCAGTGCACGATGGTTCTTCCCTCTCCCTCCTCTCCCTCACGCTGCCACTGGTCGACTTGCAGGATCAGTTTGAGGAAGGAGCGTTTGGAGGCGGGGACTTCTCTGTGTCCCGCCCACCCCAGGTACTGGAACTGACGGACCATCAGGTAGCCTTCCTGAGGCTGAGAGATCGAACAACACACACATATTTAGAGAGATGAATTCGGTTAAACAGCAGCTTTGACTTTTCTGTTGGAAGTAATGAGTTAACACTGTTTCTGTTTGTTTCATTTTTCAAAAACACATTGAGGCAGCCTAGTTCTGCCTGAAGCAAACCATAACACAACAGCATAATATGAATCTACTAACCCTGGTGAGGTTGCAGACTCTGAAAAGTCTGCTGATAACGTCACAGTCCATTGAGCAGGACATACATTCCACCTGGACGGGACCGTAACGTAACATGCCCTCCTCTGGCCAGTACTGGGGACAACCCTGAGCACAAAGTTACAGCAGTTAGACACAGAATATAGACAGATACTGAGATAAATGGCAGTGCAACATTCAAAGTTTTAAGCATTTTTTTACTCTTATGCTACATGGCTGATGCCTGATTGAGGTCTTGGTGAGCAAAGGACAATTTTCTGCCTTTGTAGACAGTAAAGTTGTATTCTAAACTCAGAATTTTGTAAGTCAAATTGGATTCGGCTGTTCAATACAATGATTTGACTATTTTGTTCCTTTTTTTTTCAGTTCAATGCCACACTAAACTCCTCTTATCAGCATTTCCTGTGGTGGAAACGTGTGTCAGGTTTTAGCGTAACTCACATTTTGATCATCTGTGATATGAAAACATCAGATTTCCACACAGTCAGGGAAAAGTGTTGATGATGTTGGGGCTACACTGACATTTTAATTCAATATTAACTTTGTAATACAAATTTTCAGTAACTGCAAGACAGAATAATTTCCTTCAGTATTATTTAAGTTTCTCTCTGTTCACAGACTTAAGTTTAATTAGATGTTTTATTTGATGCAAATGACAATAGAAATCATTCAAGTGTGGTGTGCAAAGAGTTTTTACTTCACAGCTTTAGGAATGGCAGTGTAAAACATTAAAACTATCAAAGGATATCTGCAATTGTATCTGTTTTATTTGTAATGTTAGTTACGTTGTGTCTGTGTATAAGGGTATATACAGTTGATGTATGTTTACAGTATAATAAAGTTATTAAAGTTATACCACTATATTTATTGATGTTGTTGGGTGGAATCTTTATATTATATCCAAAATATCATCTTTATGAACATTGTGAAATTATGAAGTTATGATATTAAGGCAACATAAACCTGAATTACCTGAGCCAGGTCAATCTCATTCAGCATTACCAAACTGGTACATCCATAGTCATAAACCAGGCGCCAAAAGTCTTTGACAGTGTTAGGCAAAGGATGCTGGGTAACAATGAATGCAGCAGGCTGTCTGTAGCTCTGCAGACAGAAACAGACAAACACAATGTCAGGTCTTTCATACACACAGCTGTGTCATTTTGTCTACAAACTCTCCATTTCCATTTCGGTACCTAATTATGTTTATCTGTCTTTTTATTCCATCTTTCTTTCTCTCTCGCAAACATACACACACTTTAAAACACAAACACCAAAACAAAGTGGGACATTTTGAAAGGGATAGCAGGCAACACGGGTGATGTTTGGTCACATGATCATGCAGTGGGCCTATTAAATGTGAGGGTATGGGGCATGCATTACATATACAAACACACACTACATCTACATCTATATCTAACAGGGTCAGTTAACTTCATGGTCAGTTTAAGTTCACATTAAAAATGTTTCTAATCGCCAATTTATCAGCGACTAAATAAAAGAGGAAATCAAGCAGAAGTCTCACAGTTTCACTTGAAGTAATGAACTGACTGAACTGAAAGTGAACTGAGCCCAGCTCATCCTGAATGAAAATGTGCAGCCAAATGTGTGACATGGGTGTGAATGACTTGTAATCATGAGGAGAATCTAATGTGGGGGTCAGGTTCAGGATTTAGGGTGTAAATGGCTTTGCTAAACATAAACCTGGTGGCAGAATGACACTGAAGCCATGAAACAAATCCAGTATTGGAGATTTAAAGTAAAACCCCATTACCTGGAACTCTTCTGACAGCTTGATTAGAGAGAGGCCAAAGGTAAGTAACTAAACTTTGAATGTAAACTTTTAAAAAAAGGGGACTGAATTCCAGACGTTTTACAGCAATTACAGTATTTTTGTACTCCAACAGCTTTGTTGGAGAGAAGCCAGGTTTCTTTCCACACCATGCATGTATAACATCTTGTGTTTCAACCATTATTATAAACTCACATACTGTATCTACAGCCCGCCCCTTAATACCCCCCCTCCTCTCTGTATAATGTCTATGAAAACAAACCTGCTAATAAACATTAAATTGTAATTATGCCTGACAATGACCAGATATTTTTATCTTACCTTAAATATCTCCCTACATAATGACTTTGTTTTTCAAGTCATGGTGCATGGGCAGCATGTTGAGACAATGTCAACTGTTGCCAATGTGAACAATGTCCTGCAACAATGAGGCTGTAAAAGATTGGGTGGTGGCCAGAGAAGCTAGTGGTCTTTTCAGAACCTGGATTTGTCTCTAGCCTTCTGCTGCTAAAACCACAAACACAGCATCACACAAACAGGGAGGGGAGTCTGTGTGTGTGTGTGAGTGTTGTCTGTATAAACACATGTGCATAAATATTTAAATGTAAATGTGTTTCTCTTAATTAATAATTTGTGTTTAACCTCTTAAAAGTGTGTATCATTTTCAACAACTATGTGATTGCAGTTTGGGACATTATACATTGTTTTTTTGTTTGTTTGTTTGTTTTACTTTTTCGTGTTGCATATACTAAAATTTTGTTAAAAGCAACACATCTGCAGGTCTAAAGGGCGATTTCCACAAGTTCCCTTTAAAAAAAGAACACACAATGTGAAATGTCCCAAACTACCTTTGCTTGATGTATTGAAAATAACACAGCCTTACTGTATGTGCATGCGAGTGTGATATGGACTTACATCCATCAGAGCAGCATTGATATAGTTGCTGCTTTCTCCGTCTATTGTAATGAGGAAAGGAAGGCATCTGTCAGGAGGAAGGCCGTCCATAAAGCGGTTCTTATCTTGGTTTCTAGGCAACAATGCGATGCTGCAGTCTTCAGGTTGAGGCTGAGGAGTCACCGAGTTTAATGTCTGGACAAAGAAAGAGATGTATATCATATAAGTTAGTGCATAAGCATTACTTTCCTATGTAAAGTTGGGCATCAAAGATTCATTAAGATAGAAATACATCTTAAAAGCATGTCCATGAAATATGTTGTGTTGCTGGTACGTTGAAGGTACGGTTGAGTTTTTTGACCATTATATATTTTTTGCAAGGGTGTATAAATAAAACACCAGCATTAGCAAAGAAAACGAAGACTGTTAGCAAGTAAACAATGCAGGATTTAAAATACTTTAAGAAGGACATGCGTTCAACATGTTTGTAAGTTCTCAAGGATGAACACAATGCATTTGTGTGACAAAACAGCATTATAACGAAGTACTGTAGTGCAGCAGACACGCCCTGACCAACAATCTTAAGGTGTATGAAAACATGTTTGTTTTGTACAGACCACAAAAAAAAAAAATTCACATCCTTATGATTTTAATATTTTTGCAGTGAAAATTAAATTTGTGATGCAAAAATGATCATTCCCACACTAATCATGAGTCAGCTGTCAAAAGATGTTTTCACCATATCTAATATAAACTGAAGCACAGTGTGCCTTCAAGATCAGCTGCACAGATTTGGCCTTATTGTAAATGTACTGATGTGGCTGTTTTGACATGTCTGACTGTTGAGAATTGGCCAGGAGAGAATTCAGAAGCTGATCATGTCATCAAAACGTGTCTGAGCCTCTGATCTCCTTAATGGAAACACTACAATCAGATTTACCTGGAACTCATCCTTCAGATGTGACGAGTTGGTCTGCGAGTCGATGCGGATCAGCTCATAAAAAGCAGCTTTGAACTCGCAGACTGGTATGGCTGTTTCTCCACATAGACACGCCTCCAGTATGGCATCATGGATGAATATATACTGCTCCTGAAGACATATAAGTCAAGACATGCATATTATCACATACATACACATCTTTCTCGCCTAGATAAAAACATTGGCAGTACAGTCAAACACATACAGCTTGTCGCACGGATAACACAAACAGCTGTGACACCAAATGAAAGTGAGCATGCTGACAGTGTGAGTGAGTGATGACTGATGGGAGATGGAGCTATGAATGAGATGACAACTGTCGAGTTTTGGTTTACTTCACCTCAGGAAATTGTAGTTTCGGATCTTTCAAGCAAATGACTGCAGCTTCAGTTCAGTGAGAGTGAACTGAAGGCGGCTTTGGTGAAAGACTGAATTTGATGTGTTATCTGATGGATGATGAACTGTTGGGTAGTATAAATAATACTATGATATGATATATAATGATAGTAACATGGGCAAAAAGTGTCCATGACAAAATGTGTGGAGCTTGTGCTCCTTACATCAGAAAAATGACTCTTTTTGTCTTGTTGTCCCAGTAGTAACAACATATAGACAATTGATATTGTTAGCAATTTCATGATTTAAAAAAAAGAAGCAAAAGGGATGCATTAAGTTCTTCTTTGGGGGTTTAGAAGGGTCACTTTGGGATGGAGCTGCTACATTATAGGCGCAACATGCATTACATATCTTGATCCTACCACTGGATGGCGCCAAAGTAAGATATTTTCAAATCCTTGAAATAGTAGCTTTAAATAAATAAGATGAATTTAACCTGTTAGAAATAAATAATGCATTACATCCTATGTTTATGTGATGAGATGACATGTTTATGAATGGGTGGCATATGTAGTCACTTCAGCCTACACCATGCTGATGGCTGAGTCTTACAGCGAGGGTTCATATTCTAAGATGTGGATGCAGATGGAGGATGGGTAATGCAGTCACCTCAGTCTGTACCATGTTGATCCTCCTGGAGCGAAGAGCCTTCACACAGTTGTAGATGTCGACCACTCCTTCTCTCTCTGCCATGTCCAACATGATGTCAATGACTATGAAACAGCCTGTACGCCCTGCTCCAGCACTGCAGAGAGAAACACAGAGTGAGAACTCATCCTTTAGGGCTATTATTGAGAGAGAAAATGCAAATAGATGTTTGACTGAATTATTTACGACTATGTATGTGTATTTCACATGTAAGAGTGCATATTAATGACATGGTAGAGAATATAAAGTATATTAAGGTCTGCATGTGTTTTTATTATACCTGCAGTGGACCACAATTGGCCCAGCAGAGGGTGGATTGGAGATTTTCACTCTGCGGATGAAGGAAAGTAGTCCCGTGGCATGATATGGAACTCCGTGATCAGGCCAGCCTGTGAAGTGGAACTGCTTGACCTCCCGCACCTCGTTGAAACCACGCTGGGTAAAGACAAAAGACATATTTAGGTTGCATTTCTTATTACCTGTCAAGTTTAGATTTCATTAAATATGCTCCCCCATTGAACTCAAATGTATTAATCATTTTAAAGAGTGTGGAGCTCCCTGAACACAAAGAGAAGAGACAAACACATCCTTTACTAGTCAAACTCCACATTTTTATCAAAAGTTTAATCAGGTTGTAGAAATAGAAATGTAAATATTTTACAATACTGTAAATGATGCAAAATAAATGCAAAATAACAAGTAATAAGTAAGTAAGCTAATAAAATATCACTCACCCTCTCCAGCGTAAATGTGCGAACCACATATTCAGCAAGAGGTTCAACTTCCACAAAAGTGACCTTGAAGTCTCCGTACACCTCTGCATCATCTGGCCAGTACTTATAGCACTTAACCTGTTCAGAATAAAATTATTTATAATCATTATAAGAAAACATGTTCAAAAACATGGGTTAAGTGGCAGATACAGCATCTTAAAAAAGATATAAAAGATTTATTTTTTGCCATTAGCACACATTCAACACTATCAAACAATAAAATGATTAAAGAATATCTTTCTGGCAGATCCCGATTCACAATGTCTGACTTGTGTTTTTATCCAATTGTCAAAGGAGCCGAATAAACTTTGCAAGGCAAAAAGCGAGTAAAAAGAGCAACTTACCCTTCCGACCTCCACCAGATTGGTTACCATGACAATGCAGGCTGACTGTTCCTGCCACACCATCCTCCAGAAGTCATACACCGTCTCATGAACAGGACCTACACACAGACACACAGCACTTTGTATGACGACTACAGCATATGTGAAGAAAACGGTCTTATTTGTATCATCCTGTGTAGCAGTGTTTGACAGTGTTGCAGGCTCTTACCCTGAGTAGCAATGTAGTGACTTGGTCTCTGGTAACCCTGAAAGCACCATAACAAAATAACTCAATATGCATAAAAACTGTATGTATGACATGTGACGTCCACAGTGCAACATTAACATTATGGAGCCCTGGTAAGAAGTTTATAGTAAAGTTAACTGTAATATTTTGACGATATAATGAATGTAATTGTATCTCATCAAGGTGTTGAGAACTTTTACTCCCAATACTCGTACCTGACGTTTCTGAATGATCAAAACAAAGGGGCAAAATAATTAAGGCCCAGTCAAAACCTAGAGATGATTATCTACTGATGCCTGTCACCTTTATAAAAACGGTCAGGTGCACAAAGCTATGACAACCACTGATTGTAATAAGACAAAAACAGACATAAGCTTATTTACAGCATATTGTGGGATGTAAGGTGGTGGTAGGGCAAGATGGAGTGAAATCTGTCACACAGCAAGAAGCCCCCAGCAACTCAAAATGTACAAACAACGTAACTTGATGCGTGTAATGCCGAGTGCATGAACGGATGTATAGGTGAATAGTTGTAAAGGTTGAGGGGCATGAATGAGATAATCCACAGTGATACTTACATCCCTGTACAGCCAAATCTATAGCCCAAGCCACAGGCAGAAAGAACGAGTGGAAGAAAGAAAGAAAGAAAGAAAGAAAGGAAGGAAGAAAGAAAGCACAACAATGTCAGTGAGTGTCAAGTAGAAAAAAGAAAAGCTGCATTGACATAATGGGAGTTTGAACAGGACATGCAGAAAAAAAAACATGATCTAAAACTTAGACTGAATAGAAAGGACATTTCCTGTTGGCTGATTGTTTACAATCTAATTTAACAAACATTACAGCTTCTAGATTTATTTGTCTCAAAGCTTGCTGTCATTTATTTTAGAGCAAAATCCAAATTATGTGACAGCCATGTTACTATCTCTGTTGTTCCAATAGAGATAAGCCGGATACAACAGGGAGTGTCCAATCTATTCATTCTAGTTCTAGCTTAAAGTGAGTGGTAGCATGCATGTGATCGTTTTAATGGTAGTAAATGATAATACAGAAGATAATGCTATAAGCAGTATTAGCATTTAAAAAAAGCACAATGTGAGAGACTAACATGCACATGGTTGTTGTAAAGATGACAGCAGAGTGGAGAAGATGAATGGATTGATGGATGAAATAAATGAATGTACATTTAGATGGCACAAAAACTAGAGATGGGAGATGGAAAATGAACAGTAAAATGAATGAATGGATTGATGGACTGAAGACTAAATGCAGTGACTCTAAGAAAATACTATTATTCACTTTCTTGCCTAGAGTTAGATGAGAGGATCAATACCACTCTCATGTATGTACAATATATATGAGCCAGTTAGCTTAGCTTAGTATAAAGATGGGAAACAGCTCTGTCCACCTAAACAACATGAAAGTAAAACTAAATACCCAAACTATTTTATTAACATAGTTGAATTATTAAGAAAAAACAACATCTCTCTTTGTATCGCTTTTAGCGTTAAGACTGAGTAAGTCCTACTAAATCCAAATGATGACTAAAAATCTATTGTTGTATTTCATCACACAGACTAAATTGCAATTCAAATTGGCTATGATAAATTCAGAATGGATGGATACATGAATAAAAGGATAGAGACAGGAGAAAGACAGCAGAACTGACACCATAGAAAGACACAAGTACTGTATGTATGATGTGTTTGCAGGGTGGCTGGATGTGTAAAAATGGTACGATGGATGACTAGTAGACGCAATAAAGGTATAGAGGCCTGACATACGAGCGAGGGAGTGTGGTTTCGTTGGTTTCGTTGGGAGCCAATAGTAGCATTCGATGCGTTTCCACTTACATCGATGTAGTTGGCGTTGATGTAGTCGGAGGAGGGATCGTCTTCTATGGGCTGGAGAATAACCCTTGAATGGTCATCTAACGGAAGACACAAGAATACAGTGTTGGAGAGAGAGCAGCAGAAAGAGATGAAAACAAAGAGACAGTGACATAGAGAGAAGAGAAAAAGAAAGTGGATTAAATGCCTTTTAAACTACTAATAAATAATACTTTCATGTTTTTTAACCTTGTTTTTGTAATGAATATTTAATATTACAGAAAAATGCCTACAATTTGAAGCCATGTTTTCAGACACAACATTTAGGGGAATGGAATTAGAGTTTAAGGTTCTAAGAGTTATAGCTTAAGTTTCATTCTCTACTGTCACTATATTAAACATAATATATAATAAGGCAGGACTGCAGAACAGATCATAGCTGTGAGTCTTAAAATGCAGGTTCTCTTGGAGGTGCTGTGTCCTGTGACCAGTTAGTTTGTTAATACACTTAAATATCACAATCACAAGACATGAATTAACTGTACATAATGAAAGAAAAACCAAACAATAACAACAATATTCTAAACACAATACAATTTTATCAACAAATTACTAAAATGACAACATTTTCAGGCAGGCAAGACTCTTTTGCCTGTGACATTTGAGTACATTGTACTCTGATTTTGGGAATCTGAGGTCACAACAGTCTCAGATCTTCAGAGCAGGGACTGATAGCTGTTCCAAGGTAAAGGCTAGAAACTGAAGGTAATTGTTCTTTTAGAGTTATTGCTCGTCAAACTCTGGAACATCGTCTCACAAAGTCTCACAAGAGCCAAACCAGTTGTAACTTCTGTTATGAACATACATAAATCAAGCTTGCTTGGTTACTTACATGCTATAATGTTCCCGTAGCGGTTCTTGGTGCGGTTCTGCTCTTTTTTGGCCACATCCCAGGAGGCCGATTGGCCCTCGAAGAAGCTCTGTATCACCAACAACAGACAAAACAATGGGAAAGGAAATTACACGTCATGGATCCTTAACAATTACATCCGTGCTGGATGACTCTGAGCAGTACTCTAATGTTTTGCTTTAGTGGTTTTATTCCATGGGTATGTGATATAATGCTTATTAAAAAACGGGACCATAAAAAAAGGTTTGTAGCTCTTTGACTGTTTAGTCAATAAAGCAGAAAATACTCTCAAATTAAGAAGCAATTCAACCCTTACAGTCATTTTATCATTTTAATATAAAGCCAAAACATCAAATAAAGCATCATTGATTTTCATAATAATTCTTGTTCTCCTCATTGAAAATGTGCGTACAAGACATTTCAAATATCTTCCTCTGATATAGGTTTATAAATATCCTCATCACGGCTAAACTGAAGGTAATAGCATTTGAATCACTACTTCAATACTTCAATCACTTCCACTTCTATTAGTAATACATTTTCTGCTTTTGCAGCAGGCCGCTTATGCAACTGTATAAAAGTACTGCTAATAATAATCTTACTTCATACTCCTCCTTAAAGCCGTAGCTGTCAGATGTTTTCATTAGGTTGATGTGCTGCAGCAGGTCGGCCACTCTGATGGCAGGGTGGAGCTGTCCTGTCTGATAAGGAGATTCAGTCCCTTCACAGTGATACCGAGGAACATCCAGAAGCCTGCTGTTCTCTGCTGCAGAGGCACTGTGGTTCTCATCTACAAGAAGACAGGGAATTACTGGTTAGTTCAATCACAAATAAACCAAGATTTGCATTGCATTTATCAGTGGTTTCTCTAAAGGCACTAAAAACAGTGTTTTATACTGGCCAGGGAATAAAAACAATTGATTGATTGATTTCCAAGGCTTTGTGAGTTAAGACAGGTTGGAAAAAATCATGTACATTCAGTGATTACTGGCTTGAAAAGAACATATTACTTTTACCTACATAAAAGTAAGTAAAATAATGACTTGTTCATCTCCAAAAAACAGCTCTAGGTGCTAGCTTTGAATTGTTACCATAAGAAAATACAGCATTTTCCTCAAACCAAACAAACCATTAGTCTCCTTGTTTTCTCTGTCAATACTCACCTGTGATTGGAACTACATGTCAAAGCAGCAGAAAAAGAAAGGAGCAAAAAGGTTTAGTGAGACTTCGGGATAAGAAGATTTGTAAGTAAGACTCGAAACATTAACTGCAGGTTAATTTGACAGCTTTGATTGATCTAAAGGGACTTTATAGCTTTAAACATGATAGAGGATCCAAGAAATAGGGGATGATCTCACAAAACAATGGAGCATGTCTTAAAAATGATAAGAAACAGTAAAGGACCAGTGTGTAGGATTTAGTGCCATCTAGCGGTGTAGTTACGGATTGCAAACTCCTGGCTTCACCCTCCCCTTGCAAGCGCAAAGGAGAAACTACAGTGGCGCACAAATACAATTACGTTTATTCAGTAACTGTTGCTTCAAACCCATTTCACTCTACTATTCCAAGCTTTCTACACCTTCTATAGACAGTGTAATGGTGTAATGGTGTAACCAAGATGATGGTTTTATTCAGTATTTACAACACATTAACATGCTTCACCTGGAACTATATGATACATCTCTTAGTCAAACAAAACATAATACATTTAAACCACAGATGTGCAATCATCTGCTATATAGTGTGGAATTGCGTTAGGTTGAATTATCACTTGTGAGTATAGCATCTTTGATGTAATTAACTTTGTATTTTAGAAGCGTGTACATTAATAAAAAGTATTTCAGTTGCAGGTAATTTTAATAATTATGAGGTCAAATTGTTGCAGAAGTTCCAGGTGAGTGTTTCTGTGCTGTGGGAAATAACATGAGTTGACAGTGGTAATGCACAGACTGACAGGTGGTATAATGAAGTAGCTTGGGGTTGCAGCACAACCGACTGATTTCATCTTCACCACTGTTTATTAACTGACACTGTTTATTTCATCCAACTGATGCTTTTCTCTGCTCCGAGGACATGTTAGCTCATTACTGATTGTTAAAGGTTTGTTAAGCCCTCGTCAGGCCAATTAACAGTAAACCTGACCCGACACTGCCTCTTAATTCGCTACTTCCTGCTACTTCTTTCCACTCTGTGATGTGATTGGCCAAGACAGATTGTAACTGCAGCCTTCACTCCAAATTAGAGGCAATGGAACAGTTCATTAACACAGTTTGGTGGCGTTGTGTATTGTGGAGGCCTTAAGGGTATGTTAGAACTCCACATCATGCTGCAGTGTTAACACCAGACTAAACTAAAGATAAACACATTGCAATGCAACACTGGAGCTGGAGTAACATCCAACTTGGCAAAAACTACAGCTTTTGCGATTCAGAGTGGGGCATCAGCATCAAAACAAGCCTGGGGAATAACACAGATGGTAGATACTCAAGCAGACTTCTAGATCCAGTGCACAGAAGAAACCTTCACCAAACACACAGCGCTGTAGGCACTAAGTTGTTCACTGTCACTTGATGTCACAAATATAATCTGCAGTCATTTTGCAGCTGCAATGTGACAAATTGTCTTCCTCCTTTTAAGCATCAGTTTCTGTCGTTTTTTGGGGACGGGAAATGGCATGCCTTAAAACAAGTCAAAACTGTGGAAATAATGGGGTCTCTAAGGGAGAATGATGGTAATTACTGTGAATATCAATAACTCTCAGTAGGATACAGAAACTGTGGCTGGGATTGGGAGTGATTGAACCTTGGGAAAACACAGTACGGCACACGAGGTGCTTGGCTGTTGGAGTTTTTAGTACCGGCCATGTTTTACATGTGTTGGCATTAGGTGGCACAAAAATCTGACATCTTTAGATTACTTTTGAACCAAATCCAAACATCCATTTAGTTTGTTTTGCTGGATTTCTCTCTTTTTATGTTCATTTCAGTGTTTTTCACTGCTTGTTGGTTTGCTTATGTTCTCTATCTGTGGTAATACTGGGGATATTAAACATCTAGCACTTCTAAAATATAGATGTGAGAAAACATTGTGGTACCCAAACTTCAATATAGCCAAACCCTCCACCCACATAAACATACAGTACTTGACAGAGGTCAAAGCACATAACACTGCAGGGTGAATTTGACCATGTTTGACATATGACATACAAGAGGGGGCTACAAGAACAGGGGCTTTGAGATGATGATGGGTGATCAATAAAGGGATTTGGTGGTAAATGTGACATATCCGACCATGCCAGAAATCTCACCTAGCACAGCGGTAGGAACCAGAGGATCGTTGGGCACTGCAGGAGGAAACACGGTGAGGAAATGTTCGAAATTTCAGCATTACTCAAACATAGATGAGGACCTAAAAGTGAGCAGTGAGCATCAGGAAGGAGGAGCAGTGTATGGCTACTGATGGACTACACATTCTTCAGTCATGACCTAAACATGAATGATTAGACTTAGAACTTACTTAGAACATTAATTGGCAACTATTTTGATCATCGATTCATCGTTTCAGTCATTTTCCAGGCAAAAACACCAAACATAACCTAGTTCTTGCTTCTCCAATGTGAGGAGTTACTTTTCTCTGTTTTTTAATCACTGCAAACCTAATACCTTTGGAACTGGACTGATGGTCGGACATCTGAAAACATCACTTTAGACTCTGGGAAACTGTGATGGACATTTTTAACTAGTTTTGGACAGCTCTAGTTTAGTCCACATCCAAATGTTGTTAAACTGAGCTTGTGAACTGTAATGCAGATGTTAGTAAGAATAACTCTGTAATGTTGCTGTACTGTAAAATTCAAGTCTCATCAGTGGAGATAGAAAAGAAGAAAGTTGAAACGACACAGATGTGTTAGAATTGAAAAGAAATATTAGATTCCAAGTTCACAGAGTTTTGTGTTTTGATGATTAATACCACTGTTTATAATTACAGATTACAATACTAATAGTAATAGTCTTGTTTATGAACCTACATCTGTTGTTGTAGTTGTGAGAGTCCATGAATGTCACAGCCATGGGATCTTCTCCATGCAGAGTGCTCTGGTCAGCATAGCTGCGATCCATGGCATTCACCATGTGAGTCATTTCCTGCCGAGTCGTTCCAATGGCGTCTTTACGTTTTTTTGCCAATTTCCTGTTGGGGGTAGAGACAGACACAATCAGACGTCTTATGAACAAAAACACAAACATCAGTTAGCCTGCAGACCACCGCCTTGTAAGGAATAGTCAATTGTTTTTGTATGATTTTGTATGGATGAGGTTGTCTTTTTTGGCAGTAACAACACGGCTGGGGGGCTGCAGGCTGCTGATTTAAGATGCAGAGTTTAGAACCAGCAAGGAAGAGAAAAGGAGAAAAGAAGAAAGGAGGAAAGAGGACAGAACAGGCAAGGGAGAAAGAGGAAAGGCTTGTTTGTAAATGGCAGCATGTAACAGGCTCAGCTATAGGAGCAAAGGAAAAATAGAGTCTAATACAGAGCAGGGAAAATAACCTATGACCTACAAGTAGCAAAGGGAAATCTGTTATCAACCTCAGTACCATAGAGGAGCTGTCAGATGAAATCCTTTGACTTTTGTTTTGTTCTTAAGTCTATTTCTAGTTTCATTAGCTTCCTTCATTATCAGAATGATAATCAGCTTTCAATAAAGTGAAAAGAAAAAACACAAAAAACAAATTTTGGTGTGGTTTTCATCCGACAGCAAAGGGAAAATCCTGTTAAAACAAGAGTAAGGGAATGACTTATAATCTATAGAGGCTCAGGGAAAACCATGTACCAACCAGAGTACCACAGTTATTAACATACAGTATCAGTTGTAGGACTTGAGGTCGTTTCATTAATAGTCAGTCCAGAATTATGAGAGAACACTTAATTGTCTTTCTAGGATACATTCTAGAGATACCTGATTTTCAATTTTAATCTCCTATTTTTCTTCACATGCTGTTGTTATATTGTGGAATAAAAATAATGCTTTTTTTTATGCCAGCAACAGAAACTGTTCTTTATGATGAGATCTGGTGTCTGGTGAAGAAAAATAACAAGATTAAAGTCTAAACATCAAGGCAATTCTCTCAGTGTGTGTAATCCATAAAATCCCAGGAAAAATAACTGTAGAGGGTTTAATACTTTCGAGCATGACAGAGCATGCAGGAACATTTTGTACCCAGAGCCATAGATGTGCATCAGTTAGGACAACATCACTACAGATCAACAGGCATTTATCATGTGTTTACATGTTTATAGGCTTTAAATGAGTTAGTTCCTCGCTCGTATAGCACTCCAACATAAATATATAAAAGAGAGGTTTGATGAAGAAATTGATATTTGATTGTTACATAACTGATACAACGTACGGCTCTGACTTCTTCCCAGTATACAAACAGAAAGCATGCTGTGTTTTATTGTATATTTTACCTCTTGACCCCAAAATACACCAACTCCACCTCTAAGACCACACACACACATAATACACACACACTTTACGAACTCAGTAGGAACATTGATTTAACTGCAGACCCGGTTTGTGTGAGTTTTTGTGAGTGTATTATTGGTTGTCAACAGAAAACATGAACATAGAAGAGAAGGCCATAAATATATATTATAAACCACCATATGCTGTGTACTTGTACTGTATATGTTTGTATATAATGGAGAGAGAATGTGAAACAGAGAGAAAGAGAAGGGGGTAACTGTGACCAGAACTAGAGTGGGTCTTTATTTATTTATTTATTTTTAAGGTGAATTAAATTGATTTTTTGCACAGTATTTGTTCATAAAATGTCCGGTAATATCTACGGAACATGCCTGATCTTGAAAATGGTAAATGTATGCCAAAACACCCTACAAATCTCTTACTAATGAATAGCAAAACTAAAAACATTGCAATGTCCTCTCTTGTGAAAAAGGTAATCTTTGTTTGAGTGGTTTGGTAAAATAATAAAGTCTAGAGAAGAATTTATATAATGTGAAAAATAACAGAAAAAAATATGTATTATTTGACAGTAAATATTGCCTGATAAATGTATTTGAATAGATACTAATTTGTCTCGCAATGTCATTTGAACTGCTACTTCCTGGTAAAGAGAGAATAGTCCGATAGAGTTAGAACAAATTTGTGAACAATCCCATCTTATCAAATCAAAATCACCTCTCTCCCCATAATCAATAACACATTGGTTTACACTCATTATTGATTCATAACTATCCTGTTCAAACACAATCAGGGCTAACAGGTCATGCCTTAATGTTCGCTACATTTTGTTTATTCGTCTGGTGAATGCACACACAAACTGGTGGTTAATAAATGTCCATATTTATTTATGAATCTGTGCTCTTGTTACTGCTAAATAGTGCACAAAATAGTCCCCACCTTTGTTTTTTTAAAGAAGTGATTAGGGATCCATTTTGGTCACAGCCAGTGGTAGAAAGACAGGAGTACCCACAACACGAGAAGAACCACCAAAAACTACCACAACCAGAGCCATGTGCTCTAAACAGGAAGCCGACTGTTTCAGGACGGGAACCAGGAAAGACACACTGAGCATGTGTAGCAGAGTTACCATGATACCTGTGACTTGATGGGCGGATGGATGATCACATGACTACATGCACACAAAGAGCTACAAGTCACAAGTGCAGCATTCTTTTTTCAAATAACACGCTTAGGCCTGTGTCGTCCCACTTTGGCCTGCTTTGTTGTGGTTCATGGCCAACTTTGGCCTTCATAAGCCTGCTTCAGAGCAACTTTGGAGCATGTAGAGGACACCAGGGCTGAGGTCAGTTCACTGTCAGTTCAGTCACTTTTATAGAAGCTGACACTAAATTTGCTAATGATTGAGCATTTATTTTTTTATTTATTGTTATTTTTAGACATGAAATGATCAACATTCTCTCATTTTCAGTATCTAATATATCTTTTAATATGTTTATATAGATGGTTGAAAGTAAGAAATTCTCCTGTCCTGACCTGACTGACATGAAAGTGGATTGACCCCTACCCTGGCAAGGCGTCAATGAGGATGGCTTTGGCTGGTTGGTCAGAGCTGAAAATGTGTTTTGTCTTGAAAAAAGTATACTGCATCTTTAAAAATAACAACAACTAGCCACTAATAATTCGCCCAATAAGATAACAGCAGCTGGGTGAGCTGATTGTTGATTGATTGTTTACTTACAGGTAATAAGAGTATGAATAGTAGGTCCTCCTGGGGTTGTGAGCCAATCAGAAAGCAAAGAATGAGACACAAGGGTCATGAATATGCAAATTAGGACAATACTGTCCTGTCCCAACCAGCAACAACAGAAACAGAAGAAAACACCTTTTGAGTGCTACAACTTGAGGGTCATGCAAGGGGTTGTTATAATAACTATGGGCCCTATTTCTTTAAAAAAGTAAAAGTCTAAGTTTAATACTAAATAAATACTATTAAACAAGCTAAGAGACGAAGAGAAACTAGTACTAAAATACCAACAAACTATCAATATTTAACTATTAACATGCAGTCTTTCTCTTCTTTACTTCTGGAGGTGTCATATTTAAAATATTCATGCAATATTTTTAAGCTGCATTTACTGTAACTGGACGGCCCTGATTAGAGATTTTTAGCCCTACTCAGCCAATCACCTTTACTTACTCCTACAGATAGTAAACAATTTGTCAAAACTAATACAGAGCTATCCGATCTGTAACACTGTCACTGCGATGTCATCATGTCCCACCATTTTAAAGATGCAGTATTGTTCAAAGTTGTAAAGGTTCATGACAATGAAGATTGATCTCCCCAGAAACCTTTATGGTTAACGCTGTCAACATAACTCACTCGCACTCATGAGGGTGACACAAGTCAGTTAAATCTAAACATGTCAGAATGAACATTCATTTTTATTGTTCAAAAATATTGATGTCATAGCTCAAAACAATCATATGTTATAACTGAGACCAGGTTTTTAGGACTCACTTTAGGTGGCTCAAAGGCATTTTTATATTCCATGGAGAGATATGCAAATATGTTTTCTCAACCAGAAAGTGCTGTCATGAGATGATCAATGTTGGCTCCAACACAATCTCATAGTTTCTCATAAATAAGGCAAAAAATGTAACTAAAGAAACAACAAAAACGGCAAGTTTGTACCTAGAAACATATTTAAACATAACACTTAAATAAATATTTCCTGTCTCCAAAAATAACATTCCTTTTTAGTTGTTCTCTCTGGGAATATATAGTTTATATAACCTAAATATAACATTTTAACAACACTGTCATCCCGTGGCAGTCCCTTGAATGCTTAGTAATGTAGTGCTGATGGTAGTTTGATGCCTCTTCTAGCCCAGATGCATGAATGCAGCTTGAGTTGGTTACAGTTCACACATAATTCAGGTCCTCCAGGCTGTGCGTACAATTACACAGTCGTAAACAGTGGCCTTCCAAAAACGCATCATCGTTCAATTTGGACCAATTTTCTATTATCAAAAGGCCTAAAATCATCAAGGGACAGCTGTTGCTCGGTAAAACATGTTAGACTAATCATGCCACTCATTGCAAACTATGGATCAAACACATCAGTTTTGGATGATAGTGAGTATATATTAAACACTGTTGGGTATCACAAAATAGTCACAGCTTCTACTCCTTGGTCCTTTGATTATCGTTTACAATTACACTTTGACACTAAAGCTACAGCAGCTCGAATGCTGGATCACTTGAATTCATTCAGAGAATTAGTATAAAATATGAAGGTTATGGGCTGCGAAGTTCTTTGATGGCAAGAGTTCATTACTGACTGTAATTTAATGTCTTTAGTTGTTTTTGATTTGCTGCGTGAGATCCTGATTGGTTGTAATTGAGAGACTGATTTCCTGGTTGCTCGCTAAAGCCTCTAGCAAGATGCAATACTTCAGTGTTCAGAGGAGATCATGTACAGTATCTCCTGAAAGTAAGTTGATGATAAATTAATAGTACATTTCCTGTAATGTGCTCCAGATACATGATGGTCAATGAGAAAATCGAGCTATTTATGTTGCTACTTTTTAATATAATAATAATGTGATATGACGCACTTGACATGAATGTATCTGACCTGAATATGCAAATGAAATTCCTAATTATTCTCTTTTTAATGAGGCACTCAGGTTCCCTGAACACCAAAAATTTTAATTGAAAGGTCACAGGAAGAACGGCATGTTCAGTAATAGTTAATTATTACACACATGCACTCATTTTATGACTTCTAAATGTGTGCACACACATATGCACCCACACGCCCTGAGTACAAAGGCACAATACAACCTCATGTAACCTCACAGTTAGTCAGATAAAATCTGATGAATAGAGAGCAGGTTCTATGCAAAACAAAAAACGTCTAGACTTAAGGTGGGGGGGTTTGCGTTTAAAGCATGAAGATGGCTCTCCTAACAGCTTCATAGACGTTTGATGTGATAATCCCTATTACACAATTCAATTAAGCCACTGTGAACTGCCTTGCGGTGTATAACTTTTCTATGTCAGTGTCTGATGATGTGTGATGATACCACTAGATCAACTTCAAATGTGGTACTGTAATGCTACAGCAATGCTAATTACTGCAGAGGTCCACAAATAATGCTGCTGTCATGTTAAAAAACAATATGTTTCATTGGAGGTGGATGTGGACCACTGGAAATTAAATGACTTTTGGTACTTCATAAACATGCAGTAGTCACTACGGCCTAAAAACTGCAGCTGCAATCTCATGTTGTAATTGTGTATAGTCTCCACATGGTGGAGCCCTGCACCAAACTATAACATTACAGGGCAAAACGTTTCAGTCACACTGGGACCAACTGCGATACTTCTCAATGCTCTTCTTGGAGTAGAGATACAGAGACACACACAGTGATTCTGAAATATCATTCTTTCAGTCTCCAGTCTTCATATTTTCTTTCTTTTCTTCCATCTAAAAAAGCCTTACTCATACCTGTACAGTCCCCTTTTGAAGTGTGTAATCTAGTACATCACATTACACTAAATGAAAGAATGAATTCTTTTAAGTGTAAACCTTAACAAAGAAAGTGTATGGGGCAATGTATGGGGCAATGTGTGTGCTCCAATGGCTTAGAAATCATTTCTTTCTGTTCCTTTAACCCAAAGTCCAACCAGCTACCCTTCATTCTACATTCAATATTTTTGAATTTCCTCAGTCAACTTTGCCAAAATCTCCTTTTCTATGCACAATTGATCTTCATCTTATCATGATCAAATTATATGGGTTTAGATATTATGTTATATATTATATGTATTTTATTACTGTCACTGTGTCTGTCTCTTTCTTACTCTCAGTCCAGGCACATGTTCTGAGTGGTTGTTTTGTCTAGTTTGATTCAACAGCTGTACTGTAGAAGAAAAGAGAAACCATGGCTTCAGATCTTTCTTGCACTAAATCAAACTCTGAGGCAGGAGTTTCTAATTTTAGAAATTCCATGTTTTCAAATAGATCTCAGGAAAACAAGCCCTCAGCTATTTATTGCCTTAAAAACAGAACGAACAAAGCTGGTTCTGAAGGGAGATCAACGTTTATGGTGGATGGATGGAAGATGGTGTTACTACAGCAAATACTGGACCAACACACAACAAGAGAATGGATTCAAGTGCATATTTGTGTCTGTGTTCTTGCATCTGCACGCGTGTTGGTGTCATACTGTTGTTCATGTAGTATTTGCACTCTTCATCAAACTCTTCCATTAAAGCTGTTTTAGTGGGCGCGGTTAGGGGCTCTCACTCACCTCTTCTTGACCAGTAGGATGGCTACCAGCACCAGCAGTATAAAGACGAGAACGCCAGCACTGATCCCAGCGATCTTAACCACCCGATCCGTCTGTTTAGCGGGGTCAGGGATGACTTCTGGCTCCTCTGTAGCACCTATAACAGAATGACAATGAAATACCATCAATCGTCCTGACTACTACAGTAATTATTTATTCTTTCATAGTACTAGGAGTGGAAAAAATTATCGAAATCTAAATAAAAGGTCATTTTACATCCCCATTTGTAAAATAAAACACACTAAAATACCATGCCAGTGAAGCTCATTATTAAAATTAGGTGCTTATTTAAGAATGTACACTTCAGTGGAAAGCTGCTAAAAAACATTAAAGGCACATCTCAGCAGGACTTTAAAATCTTAGCAAAACAAGTGAAAAAATAATATCAACATTTAGAAATGTTGCAGAAGTGTGAAAATCCAAAATAAAGAATATGTACTACATTTTGTAGTTCTAAAAGTTTTTCTTGCACACTGCAGCCTCTGACTAAAGTACTTAAAGCTTTGTGAGCTTGCGATTTATTCTTCTTCTAAAAAGCTGTTGACCAGTTTTTAAAAACCTGCCAGCCATCTGGGGAATACAACATGTATAAAATGTCCAGTTTGCAAAAGATTTCTTCTAATTGACAAGCTAAGTTTTTCTAGCTTTCAACACAGCTACTGTAAGACACTAAATTATTTTCTGTGAAGTCAGAAAGTTCTAACAGCTTCTTCAGCAGTAGCTTAAGCTGCTAAACTAAAAGACTGGAAATCAAACACCAACAGTTGGAGTTATCTTTAAAAGCTTTATCGTCTGGGTTTTCCCGCAGCAGAGTAAGAACTGCATGATATTGAACAAAGAAAAAGTTAACCAGTGATAATGATTCTAACCACCCAAAGCCTCTATTTTTGAAACGATCTTTTGAGGGAGCAAACTAGTCAAATAAAAACAAACCCACCAGTCAACTAAGCTTTCCAGGAACCCTGCATCTTTAGCAGGTGTAGACCTCTACACATTTCTGAAATGTTGCTCCCTTGCACTGACTGTAAGCCTGTTACGGAGATAATAGAATCTTGGCACTATTTTAAAGTATTTACACAACCCTGTGTCACCTAAGGCTGGTGAAGTATGCCACCCTACAGCATCAGGAATTATGTTTGTTTTCTCTCAAGAACAAAATGCCCCCACATCAGGAAAGTGGAGAGTGTGATAAGGAAACAAATCCTGATGAGCCACTTAAATAGGGAGGTTTAATCAGCCCCGTGCTAAAGATCAGGTAAATATCAAGGCTCTAAATATTCCTTGTAAAGCAAAGTCAGACGTCTGTGAACACATATCCCATGGTAACCCATCATTCATGATGTAAATAAAGCCATAAGTTTTGTTTAAGAGGCTTATTTGGCTCATAAATTGAAATATTTAGATTAACAGTAAATTCTTCATAAATGTGATCGTGATCATGATGCTGAACAGTCACTTGTACTGAGAACAGTTTGAGTGATGTGTTTTATAGTAGACATCTCGGTATAAAGCAGGTATAGGTTTAGCAACACTACAAAAAAACTCTCTTTTTCTGAACTATACAGACCCCAAGAGGCTACAGCTCTGTGAGGCTAAACTTAGTGCTAAAAGCAACAGCCTCTTAATGACAAGTGACTAACACACTGCATGTTAAGCAGGTATAACGTTTACCATGTACACCTTAGTTTAGCATACTAGCATGATAACATTTGCTAAATATCACAAAACATGTAGTAAAAGTAAAGCGGTTTTGCAGGTGTTTGAACATAAACCAAAGGATTAGACTTTGGTTTAGAATGAATGACTGCTAGTGGCGCTAGATGAAAAGGCAGGGGCTCACTGAAGTGATTACATTTCATCCTGTGAGAGGGTCTTGAATATCTCTTCCAAATTGTTTTGCCAATCCAGTAGATGTTAAGATATGTCACAGGATAAAAGTTAAAACTTTGACCAGCTGGTGGCACTAGATGAAAAGTCCCTGAATCACCAAAGTCTTTAGGACTCACCCTCGAGGAAAAAACTGTAAAAACCTTCATGGTAATCCGTTAAGTAGTTGAGACAATTCAAACTGAACCAAACTGCCACAATGCTGGCATGGTTAAAAACTACCCACGACAAATTAGTTCATTTAACAATTTAACTTGCATTTACTTATTAAACTGTGAAGATAAAAACATGTGAAAAGACTAACAGAGCATCAGAGGAAGCTGACAGTGTTTACCCCTGCACTGCACTTGTGTCTTGTGGAGCTGGGTCAATTGAACTAAAAACACTCATCTTACACAGATTCCAGCTTCTGATTCATTTTGTTGAATCACCTGATGGTAAATGTACTGAACCAGTGAACTCTCTACATGCTCACTACTCCTACTCCCTACTCCCAGCGGCAACCACACTGAAGAAAACATAAAAAAAAAAAAAACTGACATTGACAACGCACACACAAATGCTCAATTGACTGTGTCTCGCACTGTGTCTTTTCAGTGTATTTCAGGTTATCCTTGGCGTCATGCTCTCATTGGGAAATGCTTTTGAAATGCAATTTGAGTGTAGCTGTCCAATGTTTCTGCACCAATGTCACGTGTATTACTTGTACTCAAACTCATTTCTGTTCCTGATGACTTCAGAGAATTGACTGAACTCCCTGATTTCGTCTGTTTGGAATATAATTCACAAATGTTGTTTGAGGCAGAGTGCACGCTGTAGTGGAGCTTCAACCCCTGTTGATCACGGACAGAAAGTCAACAGAAAGAGAGCGAGCATCTGTTTTCATGCTCCTAAGCTTAGTGATCTGATCCCATAACGGCAGAATAGTTGGTACTGCAACGTAAGAACATTATCATGCATTATGATAATCCAAATAATCCAACACAAAAGACATATGCACAAAACTCACTATAATGCAATACATCTATCAAACAATAATCCACTTCTAATGCTAAATATCAACAAGATAAGCATAATCTCCCTCCTCTCTCTCTTTATCTCCCTCAATATTTGTGACATAAAATGTTTCTGCCGCTGAAATCTTTTGAAAATCCAGCCTCATGTCATTATGTAACAATATTACACTAAAACACAGGACTCAGACTGATAGATGGCGAATGAGTAAGGACGTTTCAGCCAAAATGTTGCTTTGAAAGAATAAGGTTGGCATTTTCTTATTCTCAGCAAATTCCACAAAAAGACTAAATCCAATGCTTTTCTCAGTTCTGTCTGACTTCCTTCTCCGTCTGTGTCACTCAGCCCTAAGCCTTTAAAAACACAAATCGCAAATATATAGTTTCATTTTCATAAAAGGAAATAATTTTTATAAAATGGTAGGACACTGTAGTTTTCAGCAAACGTCACTCAAACAGGACTAAACAGTGCATTTTTCAGCCGTGGATTAATACATATTCATATTATTTACAGCAAAAAACAGTAAAAGTAGGATTGACTTAAAATAAAATACAATGCCTATGTTCATGGTAATGAAGCAACATGTTACCCAGTGCATAATAAGCATTGAGGTCTACGGCACAGAGGAATTAGAAATATCAGATTACATAGGCTGTGGGTTAAATTCATTGCTGGTTTTGGTCTTTGGGATTTGTTGCCAATAAGAAAAATAAAGAATATTACTATCTTATTATTTAAGGATTCCTTTTACCACAAGATCATAAAATCCTGGAAATTCTTAATTTAAACAAATACTATTAGTAAAACGTGAGACCATGAAATACAATTTATATGATTTTTCATTAAGAATAAACCTAATCATTTCTAAACTGTTAAGAGAGTTACATGTGATATACTTTGAATACAAGCAACAGCAGAACCTACCGATAAATAGTTTAGAGTTTAGAGCTTATAGAGTTAGATCGATATATCGTCCAATATTAGCTTATTATGATTTTATGAAAAAAAGCTCTGTATGTTACTTATGCAACCGTCAATGTATTGTTTCATGTTAAACTAGGGTGACTCTATGACAAAAAATCATTTTGCATTTGTGACTGTATGAAATTTCACTTACACTTTTTTGGGCTAATGGCACAAATCTAAACCACATTTACTGGTTTCACCTACTTGACTTTACTTTACTTTACTTGACATGACTGTCAGACCAAGAATCAATGAGCAAAGGGTATCAAAACAAGATGTAACAAAAAAGAAATACAATCTTTAAAAGGTTTTGAGTCTGACCTCATAATGTCGGCGGTAGCTCTTAATGTCTGTAAAAATTATCCAGGTCAGTACACAAGCACTCACACGCACTCACTCACACACAC